TGACTTTGGCCTTATTGAAACGCCATGGAGACTTTCACTAGTATAACAAGTGGGTAACTTTCCAGCCAGCTCATCGGGCCGTGAAGACGGGTCCTGGAGTGGTCGCTCTCAGAGCAAGGTCAGCTCATCGGCTTCGCAGAGAGTCTGCGCCCGCTTCGGATGAAAAAGGGGTCACGCGGTGCAGCTCCAGAAGCTGCAGGCGGACAGATTTTTCATGTGTGACGGATTCCGACGAAGTGGGAGAAATTCCACTGCGGTGTTTTTCTGGAAGGCGCTGTGTTGAAACACCACAGTTAGGCACGCCTAAGAGGCCCTCTTTGCCAGCAGTGTGGTACATAATGCATGTCCAGGCACAGCTAATGACAGCATTACTGTGAGGGTAGAGCCCCGTAACAGGGGGAGGAAGAGGAGCACACCAAAATACTGCCTTTCCACTGGTAAGAAACCGCAAGCTAGATATTAGGGAACGATGACGGGGGACTAATTTGACACCAGACTTGTGTTTGAGGCTCCATTTCTCCAAAAACAGAAAAAGGATAAACCGCTAAATGAACTCCTACAGTTGCATCAAGGGGTCGGCAAATTAGATGACATTTTACAAGGTTCTTGTGGGTCAGTGTGAAATATCAACATTACGGTTAAGATCAGGTTTCATGTTGACATCACAACAGAACTTAAATTTCCAATGGATCTGTAACTCTATTCCAACCATGGCAACGTGAACAGCAACTAGTGGAGTCTATGCGTCACCATGGATAGAGTACCGGTCACCGATGTTCACTAAAAACATTTGTTTCCATAATCAGGATATTGTACATCATTGTATATGAGAGACGGATATGAAAACATCCAAATCGTGGGTTAAAATCTCTGACCTACTGACCTTCCATCAATCTGGTTCATCAGCAATAAACTTAATACATAAACAATTTTTTTTTTTAATTGCAAAACAGGCAATACATACTTCAGAAGCAGAGAAGAGCTCTGTTCAACTAGTATCAACAATAGGGTGTGTACTAAGAAAGGCTTTGTGTACACTTGTTGGGCTTGGCGTGGGTTTAGGTCGGGGCCTAATGCTGCCTTCACCTGGTGTAAGCACTTTTTGAAAAAAGGCATTTGCCAAATAACTGCCTTTCTAACAGAAGAGCAAACACCTGCAAGAAAATGTGGCACGTGTGATGAATGTCGACGGCAAAAACAGAACTTTGTTCATCACTCTGGATGAAACCGTCAGTGCAGTTGGAAGTGGACATCAGCCAGCTGCTTTTTATCAAGGAAACAACCGCTAAAGGATATCGCCTCATATGTTGAGTCCTTTACGGTGCAGATGCGCGGCATTGCTTCAAAAAGCCTTGACATTTCGTTAATTACCCTTAATATGCCAACTGCATGTGGCGAGGTTTACATCACCTATCATCCCTCCCACTCGTTCAGTTCCCTCGTCTTACTGATGCTGTAACACAAACAGGACTGCACTAGGAATGCTGAGAAGCCATTGATTGAAGACGTGTGTTAAAAAGTGCTCGGTGAGGATGAAATCAAATTTTGCGCAGCTACTCCTCTCCTGGGAGCGGCGGAGATGAAATCATTGACATGATCTTTCAGACCCGACCACCCCCCCCCAAACACACACACACACAACCACTCATTGATGTCTGTGCAGTGGGTACTGTCCAACCTAAAGGGTTAGGGGGTTAGGATCGTTTGAAAGTTGCATCTGGCCAGTTCTCAGAAGGTTTTGGAATCGGGTGCTGAATGCTGAAATGCCAGGATACTCTACATATGCTGCATTTAAAGTTGAGCATAAACAATCTGAATGGAAATGCCAGAAATGTGTTTATAAATATTTATTATCATGCGATAATGATAAACTTTCCTTTTTCCTTGTGAGTTTACGAACAAAAGAGACTTGCGTGTGTGTGTACATTGGAAGGAAGCGAGTTTTAAAAATAAGCACAATTGAAATCTGCATATTTTTGGGGTAAAAACATAACATGGACCAGTCACATGCTCTCAAAAAGGATCTTGCTTAAATAATTATTTCAAGCCATCTATCTTGCAGAATGTTCTCCAGGAAACACTCTAAAGCTCCACACATTGAAGTTACTACTACATTTCATATGTCAACATCTATTTAGGACCCTTATTCACGTCCACTGATGCACATTTTCAGAAAGAATATCAAACATAAAAGTATTCACACCCAATGCATAATCACTGTAGCGAGCACTCCTCATCAGGCAATGATGTGGCATTCTTATATGCGTGTAAATACATACTGATAGCACAAACTAAACGCGCTCAACCATTTTAGTCATCAAACTGTTGCAAACCTCTGATGGCCACGAGGTTTATGCCACTTGATTGAATGCTGCACACAAAATAGTCGACCTCCCGAGCTGGGGGGGAAAGCTTGCTGTCATAGTGTTTGGGCTGGTAATGGAACACATTAGTCGGGATGTGCTGATCGGATTTACTCAATCTCGATACTGATAACTCTGTGGTCGGCCGATACGACGCCAGTTTTTATTCATACATATATATGTATGGGAAGCATGCATATACATAAATATATATATATATATATATGTATATATATATAAACTGTTAATTTCCTCTTATACGCATGGACAATCACTGCATAAGCTATTTTGTCCCGGCACATAACAACACCAGTTTAGACACTGATAAAGAATCTAATATATATTCCTGCTCTTCAATATTGCAGTGTGTCTGGTTAACTACTAACACTTTACTTTTATACCAGATGCAGACATCGAATAAACACTGCTTCATTATTACCCAATGTCCTTTATCGGTCGGCCCTGGATTTCAAACCTCAGACATTGTAGCGTTCATATGAAATCCTGACTTGGTTCTAAAGCTTAATCTCATTCCTTGTAATATTCATACACACACACGACTTGTAGTTTGGATATTTCCAGCAGCATTTTAACACAGCGAGATGTTAGTTGAGATGTCAACTGAGTCGCTAATTCATGCCGAACAAAATGAGTCTGTCACTGTCAGCCGAACAGACAGGTGACAAATTAAACTGATGCTTCTTAGCTTCAGAGTTCTTTGGCAATGTGTCACACGCTTTTGGGGCTGGTCTGATTTTATGTTTATGTCTTATAAACAGGATCCCAGTCTCGGTCAGATGAAGAAAAAACGGGAAGAGCTGATGTCTGAACTGCCAGAGTTCTTGAATTCAATGAGAAAATAATACCAAACCAAAAAAAACATACATTGAGAAGACAGAAGGACGTTGCGGTTGCTGAATCCAAACAAGAGAGCGTCCGAGGAGCGCCGCTGCCTCCCACTGCTTCAATTACACTAAAGATGAAACAGATAAAAAAACTAGGTCCCCTATAATCCTTCAAACAACCCCCTTCGGTTAGATTAAATTTGAATACAATTATAAATACTGAAGAGGGGAAATTTGTAGAGTTCATTTTGAATTACGATACAGTTTTTGCTTTAGTGATAAAGTTACACTTGAAAATTAGCACATGAAGGTTCATCACGGCAAGTTGAGCGGTGCAGCCAGTCTGTATGAAACCATTACAGATGTGTCCTCCTAAAAGTGGTTTTTACAACTGCAGTACAGCAGGATGAAATCCTCCGATGAATGGCAGACAGAGCAGGGCGTGTTAGCGGTAAACGCAGGAGGTTAATATTAGGGGGAAGACTGAAGTCCACGCAGAAGAACACACAATGAGAATGCAATCACCACGTGTTTGTGAATCTGTCCTTGTTTGGGCATCTTGGCAAAGCCTGTGCAGCTGTAACTACCGCAGTGACAGAAAAAGAGTTTGGAAATGGAGACAGAGGGAAAAAGAGGAGGTGGGGACATCAGCCGAGAAAACGGCAGAAAAAGGGGGTAAAAAAACAGACGGAGTAAAGACTCACCAAACACCCGGTCACGCTAAGCCGCAGCCCTAAACGCGAGCACGCCACAGCAGACCTGCATGTTTACGTCGACAGCGGGATCCCTCGAAGGTCTGCCCCTCGCAGAAGCTCGTGAGGGGACGAGCCTAGTCTCTGACCTCCATCTTTTCACTCCGCCTCCGCCTCTCCGACCCAAATACCGAGGAGGAGGAGGACAAGCTTTCTACGGTGCTCGACTGCCCGTTTCTCAGCCGGTGGCTCTGAAAATCAACGGCTCAGGCAGGCTCTTCCTGCTCGCCTGCAGGGATATCTGCTCTAACCGGATGAGCCGCTGAGGAATACTCCAGGGAAGGAAGTGACTTCGACAGGTTGCTCCCTCTTTCCTTCCTTCCTTCCTTACTCATGCAAACTTTACCCTCTGTCCTGCTGCAACCCTAAACGGGGCGTCCGTGGGAAATTCAAAATGAATGAGTTGCCTTCTCTTGTATGGATGAGATGTCTCCGAGAGGAATTAACTTCATTAATAATATAAAAAATCTCTTTAGCCCGGCTTGCCCTGTGCTGAATTCTCAGGGAATATAGAGAGCCAGAGGGAAGCCGGAGAGCGGAGAAGTGTGTGTGTGTGTGTGTGTGTTCAACAGAAGGCGGTGTGGCTGAATCATAGGGAAGCAGTGACTCAGAGGGCAAGTCCAGCCACAGGCTCACGAGCCCTGCGAGAGACGATCTGCCCGGTCGTCCACTGACGAAAGCCAGGCCGCCGGCTGCAGGCGCCGCCAAGCGCTCCCAGTCCATACGCATTCCCCCCCGAGACAACAAAGTAAACAAAAGGTCTGCTCCGACCCCAGTGCTCGCTTTCCACAAGGACCACCCCCCCCCCCCCCCCTCTCTTCCCGGGGCGAGACAAATGACAACTCCCACAACAAGGTGTATGATTACAGTGACAACAGGGCCAGTGGATTTCCACTCTAAAAATATCTATTTCCACTCAACACAATGTGTGAGCAAGCAAACTATTTTACCGTCTGATGAATGTCAACGCGCAGTGTGGGGGGGGGGGTTTGGGCGGGGGCGGTAACACGGATCGGTGGGCTGTGGTGCGAACGCGCTACCTGTTCTTTGACCGAGGCCAGGATGTGGTTGGCGGTGCTGTCGGCCTCCATGTTGCGGCCGGTTGAACTGTTGCAGATGGTCAGCAGAAGCCCCTCCTCCGTCAGCTCAGGAGCTGGCATTCCTCCTGAGTGGACAAACACACACACACACACACATGATCTGGTCATCACAGGCGCTCTTCTGGAAGACTATCTGATACAAACACACATACCAGACTGTTGCCGCTGACACGCTCCACTCAGTAAATACGCACTTCAGTCGAACACTCCTCGGTACGCGGAGGCGAGTGTTGCTGAGAAGTGACTGTCAACAGGTCACACGCCACAAGCAGCGACACACACACACACACACACACACACACACACACACACACACCCACATGCCATATGGTCCGAAGAACTAAAGGACTGTTCATATTTCCTGTCTTTTGACAGGGCAAGTCAACGCCATATGGACTAAGACAGAAAAAGAGAAATTAAATGCTGATCAGTGTATGTATCACAGTCGAGTTTGAGAAAGATACACAACACAAACAGAACGCCGGCCAACGTTCCTACTGGAGCCCAGAAAAAAACAACGGAAATTTAAATCTGAGCAAATGCAGGAGCTGCCCCGAAATACCCGGCATGCATTTCTGTGTGAGATTCAGTCATTAGAGCTTTATGAAGATGAGCAAAGGCCGGCTTCTGACACAAAAAGAAAATAGAAATTAGAAAATTAAAAAAATATTAAAACGTCAGCAGCTGGACGCAGGAGATAAGGTGTCCCTGGCGCCTGTCTCTGGCCTCTCGTCCCGGATTGAAATAAGGGGGCGAAGCGAATAGTTATGGCCTCATTATATCTGTTGATACAGAGAGCGCGTCGAGGGACCGCTGCTCAAGGTGGATTGATAGTTACTAGAAGGAGCCTGTTGTGGCAGACGGGGCAGCTGAAGGCTGCCGTGGCCGCCTCGCAGCTCGAGGCCGCAGCTGTAGACAACGGGATCTAATCACGCAGACTTGTGCGACTTTAGGCAAAAACAGGGATTTCACTCAGACTTTCACCCACCGCGACTGGCGTCTCCACGACACAACCGTGGAGACGCGTTTTCTGCACATTTGTAGGTACGTTCCATGCTTCCCTTCACCAAACCGCACAGAACGCAGTCAGCGGGACGCATGCAACGCAGAAACGACGTCTTTACATGTGAATGAATGAAAATAACCATATGGTAATTCACTAAAGGGCCGGGCCAAAAGTAAGTGACCCCCCCCTCCCAAGGAAAGTGTGTATTATAGCACCCCTGCTGCAGAATGGGGGCCTCAGGCCGGCTGGAAGCATTGTTATACTGTAGCTTCCCCGAAAGGGTCAAAGTTGTGCCCACAGACATCATTTTAAAGGGCTACAGGGTCATTTGTTCTGATGCAAAAGCACCCGCCGACTTCAATCTGCATATGCGTGAGCTGACAGACACACACACACACACACACACACAAAGACAAGTAAGGGATCATTTAGTTTCAGGCAGCGAGCAAGTTTGTGTGATCTGGTTTGGTTGTTTAAAGTGGAACTGGAAGGTTTTTCGCGAGCAGAAGAACGTGGGAGGTCCCGACCAGACATTTGGGCAAAATGTGACCCTGAGGTATTCTGGGAGTCTGTCGCAGAGGCAGTGCGGGCATTTCAAGGTGTTTAAGCTCAGCCGGGTCATGTGGCGACCGCGGTGTCAAATGACGATGATACGGTTTTACTCTGAGTACGCTAGTCCACACAGGATATTCCATGTATTCCCCTGTCAGTCTCCTAAATTCCTTTCCCGCTCATTCATAGTGTTGCAACATAACCCCCCCCCCCCCCTCCCCACACACACACACACTCCTACTGCAGCCTTTGAATCAAGGACACGGCGCTTGGTTCCCAGAAAGCGCAGTGACAGGAAACGGGAAAAGCTGTTTGAGTTTGATAGAACTCCTCCTCTCTGACTTCTGCACAAAACACGAGAGAACAACACAAGCAGGACGGACTGAGTGCACATTTTAAGCTGACAGAATTTGCCAGCCCGGTCGGGGAGAGCAAAATCCTCTCTGATTTTGTTCTTACAGCAGGACAAAAACCAGCAGCCAAGGTAATTGTCATGTAAATCACTGTATTAAGTTATAAAAATGAGCCTTATTAAGCTTGGCCTTTCTGTAACCCTTCAATATTTGATAAAACCCCAAATTGACTTAGTACCTTGTGGGAAAGAAATAATTTTCATCAAAGCTTCAACAGAATTTGTAAATATAATCCGCCCAAATGAATATTCTCAGTAGGAGTGTGCACACTAAACGGACTGTGGCGTAAAAAGCGACATAAAGAAATCCCATAAAGAAATCCCTACCAAAGGCACCATTAGTAAAAAAATGTCCTTCATTGTGTATCCGAGCCCACCTCTGCTTGGCTCGTAGTTCCCGACGGCTCTGAGACGGCGAGTGAAGACAACGATGTGACTGCCGGCCGACCAAAGTTCTATCGGCACACGGCCAACTGGTTCTTCAGCATTTCTCTCTTTGTGTTTCACTCCGAATGCCGAAGGAGGAGGAGGAGGAGGAGGGGGGGTGGATCACCTCGCTGAACTGCAGAGCTAAAAGTTGGTTCGTCGAGCCCTTACGCTGCATTCACACATTCACGCCTTGAAAATTGAGAGTTGCAAAGATCATTGTTGTTCAAAGTCTTGGGCCTTTGGGAAGTGTAACATCACGCTGCGTTTGTCGTTGGGTTTTTTCACGATAACCAGCCGCCGCAGCCCAAACACGGCCTGACAATCTGAGCAGCTTTCAAGGCTGTCATTGGGTCAGTGCCAAAGAGTCAACGTGACCTCATTCTAGTCTAAACAATGAGGCACACCAGCGTCTAATTATTAGTATCACCGTTACTTCCCTCGATTAAGTGGAGAATAAACATCTTTGAGCATTATTATGTCCAACTATTCAGTGTGCAGACCTTAAGCGTCTCTTTTACAAGAGACTCTTTCTAGTCGGCTGAATCTCCCCTTTACAGTATCTTAATCTTCCCCGTCTCCAAGTCTCAGCCTGACCTCCCCCTGACTCGGATCACGTGACCCCCGGCGGCGGCCGCTCCTCGGAGCCTCTTACGCAATCTGCGTTTCCGGGACTCTCGGCCTCGAGGACTACAACGTGGTTGACGGTGCGAGTGAGGGGGGGAAAGGGAAACGGAAGCCAGCGTGCAACCTGCCATCGATTTTCATCCACAGAAATGGATTCATCATTTCCCTGGATCCCCCCTGAAAGCCACCTGCGCCTGGTCTCACCTTCTCCAAGAGCACCGCGGCAACAGATCTAACGCTGGCCGACACACAGGAGACCAAGCTTACCGGAGAGGAATCGAGTTAAAGCAACGTTTACCGGCTCCATAATAACACAACTTATTTCTTCGAGGGAATAAACACCAATATCTTCGTTTATCAGAGATGCAGCACAGAAGAAGAACAAGCACATCGCTTGGATGGATGGATGAGGGGGGAGGACGATGAATTTTGCAAAAAAAATCCTCCCACTTGAAATAATAACGTGTTAATTTCACTTTCTGTTTCAGTCTGACTTTTGATCTGATGACTTTGGACTCGGGGATGCAGCACTGTGAGTCAACTCCCTGTCGCGCCGGTACGACCGGCCTGTCGCGTTGTGTTTTGCAAAAAACAAAACGTCATGTTTCTCTGGTGTTAGCTGTGTTACCTGCTGCTTTGTCTGAACGCCTACAATGACAATTTACAAAAACCAAAGCACACATTGAGCTCTGAAGGAACACGGCGCAGGTTCTCCTCCGTACACCAGGTCAGGCATTCGCTGAGTAACTTCAACTTGTGCAGGAGGAGCTGATCAGTGGAATCGTCTGGTGGATTATTTTAGAACACCCCCCACCTTCTGCGCTGAGGCCCCTGTGGCACATTGTTGCCCATTGCCACTTAACTAGAGTGACCCAGAGGCATTATCAAGCATGTAAAAGCTTAGTGGGGAGAAATACAATCTCTAATCTCTCAGCAGCTTCAGCAACTTCCCCAAAGACCCACAATGTCTTAATTGCTTCTTTCACACACTCTATTGACTTCCTTGAATAAAACTAGCATTTGTGGTCCAATGAAGTTGTCACAGTTAACCAAGATGAACAATAGAAATATATTTGCACCTCAATAAATCCCCAAAATGAGGACGGGGGGGAAAATAAACATTTGCATTCACTCAAAAAGCATTTACGACTGCGGCATTATTTCTATACAAACTGTCAATGAATTTTTAAATCATGTCTGAAATCCCCAATACTGCACACACACACACATTTACAACTTATTAGGGAAGCCACATGGTGAGGAAGGGCTGACCGAAGCCCTGACAGAGTAATTGCTCTGCTCTGAGAATGTGGATAACTCAAATGAACCAATGGTCCTGCACACACTGCGTGTCACTGATTAGCCTTAACCTCAGACAGTACACTGCTATAAGTATCAGCACACTGGGACTTCTTACTAGGTGCCACATGAGCAAAATACTTTTGAGGAAGACAACGGATTTTTCCGCGACGGACTTCGCCGGTAGCAATGCGCGGTAAAAAGGTTATTATTAGATCCCTATGGATGTTTCACTTTCTGCTTCTGTCAACAGCTGTATAGGCTCCGCTCATATCGACACACCTAGCAGCAGGAGGAATGTCTCCTTTCCAGAGCAGAAGCAGGCGTAGGTGCACAATGGCCCTATCAATCATTAGCCTGGAAAGGCGAAAGACAAAAGACGCAGCCGCAAATAGACACGTACCTGTTGTTCTGTTGAGCTAAGAATGAAAGGGGTGACAAGCGTGAGGCTACAGCGGAGAGGAGACAATAGTCCGGCAGCATCTCCTCAGAGCGTTCTCCACGAGGGGACAACGTCAAAGATCTCATTTGGAAGCTGCACCCACGCCTGCCACACACCTTGTACCCCACCCAGACAAAATGTTGCAATCACCGGAGGCCGATCTGAACTGTGTGTCCACAGGGCAGGGCTTTCCTCTGAGTAAAAGCAGGAAACGATCATCTATTGAACACACACACACACACACACACACTAAGTACTACGTGCCCAGTTGCCTGCTGCACACTCCTTGATCTTGCAATGT